AGAGCCATTATTAGAACTTGTGAAGTATGAAGAGAATTGTGAAAAGAGAAGTGAATGTTTCTGGTGTTTGGTAGTGTGACAGGGTAACTATAGTTTTATAATAGCCTAGTATATAATTGATGACGATCTAAAAGTGGATCTCAAAGACTCCAAAGAGGAAGAAATGTTAAAATGGAAGTGCTAATTACTCTGAATTGCTCAATATAAATACATATGTTAAAACATCAAACTGTATCCCATGAATATGTATGATTACTCATAATTAATTAAAAATAACAGGTGATCATTTAATCCAGGGTGTAGCCTCCCTCTACCTCTCTCAACTGCCTACTTGGGCATGTAAGAAGAGCATCCTTTTACTTTCTCTCTTCTGGGCTGAGCCTGTCTGTTCACATCTTCCTCTGAGTGGACAACAAAGATCTGAAATTTGCCACTGTTATGTGTTCAGCAGTGCTCTGTGCTGACACCTGGAGTCACCTGAAGGAAAAGATACCTCTCTCCACAGGCAGGCCCAAAGAAATGTAGCCAGTTTCTTTCCTAAAAGTCAAAATGTCACCAGGCATGGTGGCGCACTCCTGTAGTCCCAGCACTTGGGAGGCAGAGGCAGGCAGATCTCTGTGAGTTCAAGGCCAGTCTGGTCTACATAGTGAGTTCCAGGACAGCTGTGGCTACAAGGAGACCCTGCTTCAAAATGATAAAAAAAAAAAAAAAAAAAAAGAGTCAAAATTTCCTTGGGCCTGTTAGAAAAACACTCTGTTCCAAAGGCAAAAAATTTCAAAAGAATTTGGGAGCTTGTATCTAATCCTTAAAAGATTTTAGGGTTACCTCTTCAGAGGGGGGAATGTTGGAGGGGAGGGAGTGGGCATGTGGATTAGATCAAAACACCTTATATGTGTGTATGAAATTCTCAATAAATTATTTTAAAAAAAGAAAAAAAAAGACATCCTGATAGAAATACATGTATTCAGTATGTATGGCATGTGCCAAGCACGTGAAGTGAATGGAATACTCGTGTGGAAATGATTTTGTTTTTCTGATTCTCTTTTTCCTGGCTCAACCTTTTCAAAAGACTGGTTCTAATTTGAACTGGTTCAGTAGGATTTTAAAAACAACAACTTTGATACTGTTTTCAGGGCAGTAAAAAATTAATACTTGGTTTGGGTTTTGAGTTTAGATAATTAGTGTTGTCCATTTTGGTCAATGAGTCATATTGTCCTGATCCACATTACTCCTCACAGGGAGAAATGGTTCAAAACCAGTGCTTTTTTGTCTTTTCTCTCAGAGTCTAAAAAATGCCTCAAGTCTCTTTTGTCCCGAGCTGTCTTTATTCTAAGCAATCCTTAAGTGCCCCTTATTGAGAACCAAAAATCACTAGCAGGAAGCAAGTGACTCCAAACCCACGGATGCTGACGATGATTGGCATACTACCGTGTAACCATCCACACAATTCAATAACTTTCTCACTCAGATGCTCATAGAACAGATGGTCCTTCCCAGCTGTGGGTCCATTTGCTGGGAAGAGGCCCAATCCATCCCAGAAACTTTGCACACTCTCCCTAACTGGGCTTCCTTAATTTCCCCAGCTTCTCCAATTTTCTGTCTTTCCTCTTCTCCTCAATGGAGTAAATTTTGGTTGAACATGTTTTGAACTCATGACAAGTTTTGCTATATTTACAAAGAAACCATGGAATAGTCTCTTCGAACCTGAGGTCCACTCCTTAGGCCCATGAAAGTGGAAGTCTGAGGACCGTTCAGCAGTGGCTTTTTCTTTCTGCTCAGTCCCTGGGTATAAATTCTTCCACCCATAAATAAAATAGTAAGCACTATACATTTAAAATTTATTCACACAAATGAAATTTATTTATATAAGGGAAATTCCTTCTGTGTGTGTACACATTTGTGTGGGTGTGTGGGTTGCTTTGTTTCCCCAAAGCTCATCTGAAGTGTGGTCTTGAGATGTTAGGACTTTTAAAAGGTGACACCTATAATGTGAAGAGAACAAGAGACTGAAGAGTGCTTATCCCTGAATAGAACACCTTTATCAGACTTCTGCCTCCCAAGGCTCAGGGATCACTGTGGAAGAGCGAGCACAAAGACTGGAAGAGTCAGAGGTGGTAGCTGACCACAAGGAAACAGTTTTCCAGACAGCTGGTCACTTCCTCATATGAACTCACAGCAATGGTGACACATGCACAAGTCCCATGGAAGCTCAAACCATACAAAATCCCAGCACAGACATGGGGAATTGGTAAGAAACCCTAACTCTACCTGAGGTACTGTTGGTAACTGATGGCTGTTGGGAGCAGGAGGGTCAGTCTCTTTTAAGGATGGGACTTTTGGTAGGTTAACCAGGATCCAGTGAATGGACCCACACTGAAGGACATTTGGGGACACAAATTAGGCTCTAGAGGCCACATAAATATGTATATATAATCTTACTTGGCCAGACACAAAGAACCCAGATCCTGGGGCTGGAAAGATGCCTCAGTAGTTAAGAACACAGCTCTTACAGAAGACCCAGGTTCAGTTACCAACACCCACATGGCATCTAACAACTGTCCTTAACTCCAGTTCCAGAGGATCCAATGCCCTTTTCTGGCCTGCTTATAAGTAGTGAGTGAATATTCAGCAGTCATAGAGAAAGACAGCTGGATGCCTTGCTCAGCAAAGCTGAGCCAGTATGGTGGAGAGCACAGCTATTAGGTTCAGAAGGACTGGGTTGAAATTCTGGCCCCAGTCTTTCCCTTGTGTGACTTTGGTCAAATAACCTTGCTGCTCTGTCTTGTTCAGATTGTTTTCTGCCCCTGTGAAACACCTCGCTCTTCTGTATATGAATCACAGATTCCAACAAAGTCAGTTCTGAGATCTCTCCTTAATCTGTTGGTTTGTTTTTCTGTCCTTGCCAGCTTCTCCTTGGAAGGCAAACAAGTGGATTCAAGAATGCTATGTTACTGAACTTGGTTCTAGAAAACAACTTTTTTAGGTGTTAAAGCTCAGCCATGGCTATTAGATAGATGCTAACATTCACAGAACTTCTTAATAAGTTAGTCACCATTTTCTTACCAGTAAAATGACATACCACAACATATCTTTCTTTACACTGAATGTCCAGGCTCTTTGCTATGTGCTAATCATGTCACCCTAACCATTTCCAAAGGCCCATTTCCGATCATGTTCCTCACTCACTTAGACATCTCCCATGACTGCCAGCGTCCTAAAGACTAAGCCCACCTTGGCAGGAAAACCATTGCTGGTGGGGTCCAAGTAACATTCAGCAGCCCCACTGTAGCCTCTCCAGCCTGTCCTGCTTGCACCACATCTATGCACAAAGCTGTGCGCATCTGCCTATTCAAGTTTCCAGGCCTCTCTGGCTTTGTCCTTCTTTCTTTGTTTCTCTGAAGAGCTTCCATGCATTCTTTAAAACCCCACACAAATGCATCTCTATGAAACGTTACCCCAACTCTATTGTAGGCAGAGCTCTGTTCTCCTCCTCCTTATGAATAGAGCCCTGTGTCTGCTTTTCTTCTTCTTTGTTTTAATCTCAAAATATTTTTATTCTTTGAGAATTTTATACCTGTATACACTGCATTTTGAGCATGTTGATTCCCCGACTTCCTCTCTCCAACTCCTCCCAGATCCCCAGATCCACCCTCCCCCGTGCTCCTCCCAACTTCAACTTCATGTCCTCTTCTTTTTTTTTTCCTTTCTTATGATCCACTTAATCTAATTACCGCTGTCCATGTGCACATAGGTATAGTGCCATCCCCTGGAGTATGGTTAATCTACCAGGGGCCACACCCCTAAAGGAAAATGATTCCCCCTCCCCTAGCAGTCATCAGCTGTCAGTAGCTCTTCAGGTTGGGATGAGGCCTGTGTGCCCCTCCCCCATGCGTGCTGGAATGTTGACTGGCTTGAGCATTTGCAGGTCTTGTACGTGCAACCACAGTTGCTATGCATTCATGAGTGTAGTGCTCATGTTAGGTCCAGAAGGCATTGCTTTGCCTCAGTTCTCCCCAACCTCTGGTTCTTAAAATCTTCTTGAAGGATGGTCCTTCACCCTTGAGGGAAGGTTGTGTGATTCAGATGTTCCATTTATGGCCAAGCACTCCATAGATATTTATTTCCTGCACTTTGACCTATCTGTTCTTAGTGCACTTGTTATAGCATTCTGTTCTCTACTAGAGACATCTGTCTCCATCACTGCCTTGGGAATATACTACCTAGGAAGTAGTCCATGCTCTGCTTATCTTTGCAGCACCAGAGCCTACCACAGAGACTAGAAGATAGTAGGGGATTAAATGGGCAAATGAATTCAGACCTGCCCCCATGTCCTTTTCTGATGAAGGTGGTTAGTAGCATGATTTTTGGCATTATTCACTTTGGGATGGTAATTTTAATTCTGTTGCTTACAAATGAATTTTAGCCAGGTTACCTAATGTCTCAGTTTCTTCAACACAGAAGTGGAAGTTGTTCTAACTTCAGAGAGTTATGGCTTAGATGTGAAATTATTATGCTACTTAGCAGTGCCAAGCACAGATCTCACTCAGTACATGTTAGTTGTGATGACTTGACCAAAGTATCCACATTCTCTTGGTAGTCTGTTTGGCTTCATGTGGCTATGAGGCCAACATCCTGGAACAAGATTCTATTAGCGCAGAAGCAATCCACTCGAGAGGTAGGCCATTGACATTGATCCTGTTGGCACTTTGCTTAGCCTAATTGTATTGAAGATCAGATGGAAGACTCAAATGAGTCAAATGTCTAGAGAAGTAAAAAACCCCAACTGAACCAGGCAACAGATTAGCGAATTTGACCTCTAGTTATGTTTCATATAGCCAGATTCTCTCTCCTTTTCTTTTCCTTTCTGACTGCCAGCTTTGGTGACTATTAATAAATGTCATTATTTGTAACCCCCCCAACACATTTGAATTTCACAAGTCCTATATTTCCTGGGTGAGAACCCACATTAATCAAGCCAATAGGCAGTGGATGGGGCACAATCTGTAACTATAACTTTAATTAATAGCAAGGCTCTGAAATTGAATACACAGAAGGGAGATGAACAAATTGGCTTACTTCACCTTTCCTCTACCTCAGCCATTCAGCTTTTGCCTTGACTATACACATCTGGGCAATGCATGTATTTCTGAACATTTATTACAAGTGTTAGTTTTCATCAACTGCCTATTTCATTTGTGCTTAGAAAGTATTCAGTTACAATGCTAAAGGAAGGTTGAAAGGCAACCCAGATGTTTTCTAAGCCGATGTTCAAGGTGGCCCGCTACCTTTGACCTCAACAGCTTGACCTTGTGGTATCACTTAAGCTGCTGAAAAAATAAACCAGGACTTCGAGTGTTTTTTTTTTCATGTAAGAGCCCTATTTGCAAATTTGATTTGGGATGTTGATGAATCTTGATAAAGGTGGCTTTTCCCCATATATTTACTGCTGTATCTTGGCTCAGTGCAAGAGAGCCACCAGCAGTTTCTGGAAGTCCCCAGAGGTATCTGAGTGAACCATGTCAGAGAGCGACTTCTGATACTTCTCCTGGAACTTGGCTTTTATCCCCTGCAGGTCCACCTGTAGGAAAGATGACAACAGTGTGGGTGACCACATTGATAGCGTGTTCCTTGTAAATGGCAGGCACTCTTCTACGCTGTCATATTTATTATCCCTTTAAATGTTCTCAGAGGCTGGACTGGCAGCATTTCCATTTTGTGGATGAGAAAAGGAAATGAGGTTAGCCCCCTAAAGTGGGGGCTCTCTCTCTCTCTCTCTCTCGCTCTCTCTCTCTCTCTCTCTCTCTCTGTGTGTGCATGTGTGCGTGCATGCGTGCGTGTGTGTGTGTGTGTGTGCGTGTGTATACATTCCATTACAACTTTATGGGAAAAAAGTTAAATTACATATTTTTATCTGTCATAAAATATTGTTTTCCTTGCTGGGTGTCGTGGCACACGCCTTTAATCCCAGCACTTGGGAGGCAGAGGCAAGCGGAGCTCTGTGAGTGCAAGGCCAGCCTGGTCTATATAGTGAGTTTCAGGACAGCTGGGGCTACAGGGAGACCCTGTCTCAAAAAAGACCAAAAAAATTGTTTTTCTTTTGAATTTTTTATAGTTATTTGAAAATGAGTCATTGTTAGGTAACAGTGCTGTGCACAAACACAAAGTGGGCCCTTTGCCTTCTAAGCTACAGTCTGCCCGTCCTTGGTAGAAGGTTGAGAAGACTGCCCATGAAAAAGTAAGTAAATTCCTAGCATAAGGGTATAAACTGTTCTACATGTGAATAATTTTGTGAAGTTCCAAATAATTATATATGACTCCATATGATTAAAACTGTTAACTTTTTAAAATATGAAGGTGATGCAAAATGATTTGTGATAGTCATAAAATCATCATTGTTTTAATTATTAGCCCATCCATTTTTAATCTATGACATTTGTAAAGCAAGAGATTTTTCTTATCCAGGCTTATTAGCATAGTAATCATTGCACTTTACATGGCTTTAACAATAAGTTCATTCCTAGAAAGCTTAAAACCTAGGGGCAAAAGAAGGATCAGGAGCAGGCAGACAAGACTGTTGTGCTTCTTCTAGCTAGTGAGGGAGAGAACTACAACAGAAAAGACCTAACTCCAGACTGGACCACATGAATCCTGTCAATGTAGCAAAGTCTGTGTTGTTGTGTTTTGGTTTTGGTTTGAAGTCTGCCTTATACTCCAGGCCTGGAAAATGTAGCTTATGTATCTGTTTCTCCTTCTCTTGCTCCAGTAAGAGGCTGAACACACACACACACACACACACACACACACACACACACACACACAGAGAGAGAGAGAGAGAGAGAGAGAGAGAGAGAGAGAGAGAGAGAGAGAGAGAGTGTTGTGTGTGGGAGAGGTGGCGAAAACAGAGAGAGAGGCACGCAGAGAGAGAGAGAGAGAGAGAGAGAGGGAGAGAGAGAGAGAGAGAGAGAGAGAGAGAGATTGTTGTTCGAAGTAGATGCTGATCACAAGCAGAGAGACTGCTGAAGGCAGATGGTGTGATTCTCCCTGTTGCCCTGCTTGGGTGTTCCTGTGTTCCCCAGCCTGGCTGGATGCCCAGTGCTGGGGGGGGGGTAAGAAGATGGAGTACAGGATAGGGCAGCTGGTGTTTCATTCTAGTACATGTGGGAGATTAGGGAATCCTCTAAACTGTATGTGCCTGGGCCTGCAACATTCGGAAGTGATTGGCTACATGTAGGGATCACCCATCTGTGGTCCATTCTGAGACAGAGTTGAATATTCTGTAGCCTATGTCCAAGTGAACACAGAATGCTGACAAGTCTTCTGGTGCTGTCCAATCTCCTTAGCGGTCTAGAACCCTGTGTGCCTCAAGACCTTCCTGGAACTTCAGCTAGGGGCTGTGTGCTGAGAGCTGGAGAGAGAGGGAAAGCAAGGCACCCTGAGAGAGGGAGAGAGAGAGAGAGGCAAGGATGGCAAGGATGAGACGCAGAGAGGCTGTTCAGGGGCATAAGGAGAGAGAGAGAGAGAGAGAGAGAGAGAGAGAGAGAGAGAGAAGAGAGAGAGAGAGAGAGAGAGAGAGAGAGAGAGAGAGAGAGAAACAGAGAGAGAGAGAGAGACAGAGACAGACCAACAAGAGACAGAGACATAGAGAAAGAGAAACACAGAGACAGTCAGACACAGAGACACAGGGACACAGAAAGAGAGAGAGAAAGAGAGAGATTCCACTCATGAAGGAGGAGGAGAAAGGGGGAAGGAGAAATTCCAGGAACAGAAATAAAAATGAAAGAACTGCCTTGCTGTGAAGCTATATTTAAAAACAACGTCAGATGTTAAGTGTTTGTCAAAAGGCATGGATCAGAATTTGGGTTGGTACCTCTCCCTCTGCTGAACAGTTTTTGGAGATGTCTGTGGCTTCCAGCTGCTTAGCTCCCTCCACTCTCCAAGGCATCGTCCACTGAAATGACCTTCCTGCCACCTCCTCTTCATTTTACGCCCCTTCTGATGGTGGCCTTGCAGCCCAAGGCAGAAGCTGCAAAGCTGGAGGCTGCTTCCAGGCTTCTGGCTGCTTGTTCCCTTCCCTTTCTCACACTCACATTCTCCGTTAAGAGGGAGAATTGAATTGGTCTTTTGAGAGTAAAGGAAGCCCCGGTCTTTTAATGTACAAAGTCTTAATATTTGTGTGTCACATAGACATATCCTCAGTGTTACCTGTGGTGCTAAAATTTTGGGGCAGGGGTGGTAATTTGAAAAAAATCTGTCTAAAATGGCTCCTAGAGGAGGACATGGGTAAAGAAACATTGAAAAACATTGTTAGGCTGATATTTCTTGTGAAAACTTATGCTTCTAAGGTATGTTTATGAAGCAAAGTCCCTGCTTGGGAATAAGGAAATTAATTTTATTGTCTCTTTCACTACTGGGTGACCCCTTTCCGTGTCTTTGGTTTGTCTTCCTTAAAATGGAGCTAGGCAGAGCTGTGTTACCTCGGCACAGCTCTACAAGTTCCCCTTTATGCAGCGCCATCAACTCTCTGGAGCCACAGATGACAGAAACAGAAGGAACTATCATTATTGTACTTTATAAAAAAGGAGTGGACTGAGGCAGAGCCCGGCGTTTCTGCACATTCTGGGAAGGCAAGGGCCATTTCTGCCTTACTTTCCTTTAAATTGTTCCTTAACAAAAAAAAAATTTGCTAATGACATCAGTGGGGGGAAAAGAAGTTACAATCATCTGTTTGGGGTGTGTCTTACCTCAGCCCTTGTCACAATGATGCGGATTAACGTCTCCTCGTCGGTCCCCGTACCCTTCATGGCCTTGTATAGACGTTCAGCAAAATAGCTCTGGAGATCCCGGGCACATCTCACTGGGAGAGAGAGGAAAGGAGGATGTGAGGTTTTCATGGTTTGGTGAACATCAAGGGATCCTCCAAAGGCACAGTATAGTCTAGAACGTCACCTGCCTGTCCTTGGAGCTGCTGGACTTGACAGACTGAGGTTTGAAAGGAGCTGACTTTGTACTATTGTGGAATGAGCTCTAAGTTTCCTGGGTCAGGACACTGGCTCTCCAACCAGAGCCAGATCAAAACCACTTCAGAAGGAGAATGTCTTGTGTGCCCTGCAAGCCCTGTGGGGAGGGGAGCTGGGCCCTCCTCAACACCCGTGCTGGGGAAGTCTGGCGTCTCATCCATGGATATGGCTGGTGCCATACAGTGAAGTCTCTGGGGCTGGAGCAAGGGTCTGTGGGAACACAGCTCTGCCAGTAGCCCTCTACAATAGAACCTCATAATCCAGACATTTTCTCAGCTGGACTGTCCACTGCTTTCCTGTTCTCAGCAACCTCTATACTTCGAGGAGTAACATACTTGAGATCATTTGAGCTATTGGCATCACAGAATTTTCATCCCTTTGCAGCACTGATGGATACTGGAGTTACTGTTTAAAGGCAGCATATTCCACACTTAAATAGTGGTCCTCTTTCTTACTTCAATGACATGTCCTTTTCCTGACAGTTTGGGCAGAATTTTTTTTTTTTTTTTTTTTTTTTTTTTTTTTTGTCAGTACTGATGAAGCCTATAGCAAGCACTCTACCACTGAGATATATGCCCGGCCCAACTGCTTTTCTACTGTTGATGATCTATGGCTGGAAACAGTCTCTATTAGTAGCAAGCAGCAGGATTCCCTTGTAAGGTTGGGTCAGGATAGCTAGGGAAGGTCTGGAATAAAATTGCTCGTGGTAAGTGGGAGCAAGGACACCATGGCTCTCTGTACCTCGCTCCTGTTGCCTTCTAAGAGCTGGGCTTTGCAGACTTTAGTGAGCACAAAAACTATCACAGAGGAGCTTGAGACAGTGGCTTCTCAGGCTCCTCCTATGCCTGGTTTCTGCATGGAAACTTGGGGTGGGACTCAGGAAACTTTCATGACAGATTCTAAGGCAGGTGGTTCACAGGCCCCATTTAAGAAATGTTGCTCGTGACAGGAGTCATTTGGTGTCAGCCTTTGTAGGTTTCAGCTGTAAACTGATATGTTTACAAGTTAACAGAGCAGGGTTGGAGATATCTAGAAAATACAGTCATGAAATCATTTTGTGAGGTTGATTCTCAAGGTCTTTTTAAAATCACTTTTACTTTTGGTACCATGAGCATATCAACTCCTGCAGTTCCCAGCTTCTAACACTAAGGATTGGCTTTTTCCTTCCTCTCTGTACCATCCTTGCAGTCTGTTTTCTCTCTTTACTGTTAACCTGTTGATTTGTATATGTCCCATGTGGACAGTCAGCTCCTTAAGAACAGGAACTGGGTCTTATTTGCTTCTGATATCAGATCCATCACAACTCCCGGGCCAGGCAAATGCCAGAAAAATGCTGTCATTGAATGGTGACCCTGGTATCTTCTGACTGCACTCTGGGGTCTTTCTGGTTTTCCATGCCACAAGCATAGGAAAAATCTGGACTTGCAGAACCAGGCATCGAGTGGTGCACTCAGTCCATCTATTTGGGAGATTCTTCCTGAAGCCCAAAGGACAGCTATCTGTATAGGGCTCATATGTGTCCAATGTGGGTCATGAAAAAAGCTGGGACATTTAGGCTTCTGTACATCACACAGATGTTTGCTAATTTGAATGTAAAGTGAACATGGATGGAAAAGGTCAGTTGTTGACATTGTTTTAAAAAAGCACCAGAAAACATCCTCAAAACTTTGTGGAAGCATTTGGCACCAGGAGCACATAGTTTAGGTTCCAGGCTGCTTATTTGGTTCTCCCTCTTCTAGGGACATGTCTCTCCATTCCTGTGCCATTTGGGATGGTTCCCTGGACTTCTTACCACAGCAGTGTGGACAATGGACAATGCTTTCATTCCAGGACTTGCAAAAAGAAAAAGAGAGCCTGCCAGAGACATGGCCCCATGCCCATCTCTCTGCTATTTCCTGCCTTTGGGTAACACCTGGAGAGAAGGTCCTGGGGTTGGCTCAGCATTGCCAAGATCTAGCCTCCCTCCCCTGGCTTTCTAAACAGACCTCATTCTTTGTCAACATTGAAGAGAGTCCAATGGAAAAAGGAAACCCTCCAGCCATCAGGCAGGTACAGAAATGCACCCACAGTTCCTAATGATGGGTGCTTTGGAATATGTGTCATATGAACCACATACTGCTACCTGAGCCAGGTTTTTGACAGATGCTCTCAGGAACTCACATTCTTAGCAGGACCACAGTAGATACTGTGATGGATCACATGGATGTTCCCTTCTGGATTAGGTACTCATTGCCAGGGTTGTTCACTGACTGCTCACAGCTGGGTCCCTTCCCACGAGTCACCCTTCATGTAAGATGTTCAATGTTGCAATGTTCTTGGGGAACCACCACTAACCAATGATTGGGTGATAGGACATGCAGAGACTTGGCCCCTTGCTCCACTTTAGACACCTCAACTCTAGAGCTCTCTGGGGGACAGGAACTGCATCACATCCATCCTCTGCCTTGCCCAAAGCTGCTTAAATGTGTGGTTTCCAAACCAACTCTCTGACATCTCTCAGCATGGTTCCAAGGATCCCACACTAGGACAGCACTCTCCTAACTTTACCGAGGGTTAAATAGGCCTTCTGCAAGTCTCCCGATGTCTCTTCTTCAATGGCTTCTTCCATGTCTTTGCCAATGAGCTAGAAAGATGAGCAAAGTCCAGCCATTACTCCAGGGTTTGCTGTTGGCCTAGGTAGCCTTTATAAAGAGCATTATTCCCTTCCAGATTTAGTGCTGTGGCTCTAAGGAGCTCCTATCCAGCCTCTTGCCTTGTAAGGTGGAATGGTTGTCTTCCCTATTCAAGAGGGGGCTCTCACTGCTGAGGAGTTAGTCCTGAGTTGATCTCAGCCAGTGCTGTTCCCTCAGCTTCCATTTCCTCATCTCTAAAATTAGGGAGTGGAAGAATAATTAATAATTATTTTGTGTCTGCATGTGTGATGTATGTACATGTGTGTATGTGTGTATGTATGTGGGGGTGTGTGGAGGGGCCAGTGGAAGACATTGGGTGTCCTGCTCTGTCACTCTCTATCTTCCTTTGAGACAGGGTCTCTCACTGAACCTGGATCTAGGCTGATGAGCAGCAAGCCCAAGTGATCCTTCCGTCTCTACTACCCGCTCTCCCCAGTACTGCGGTTATAGGCACTTGTCAACACCCAGGGCTTTTTACATGGGTGTCTGGGATTCAAACTCAGGTTCTCATGCTAGCTCAGCAAGCACTTTTACCTACTGAGTTGGCTCCCCAGCCTGCAATAAAAATTCTTTATGTTACACAGCATCTTGGTTTCCAATGTGTTTTCCATCTTTTACAATGTAAGTTCCTGGAAGGCTGGTGTTTTAACACTGTGACCCGTGTCTCCCTCTTCTTCCTTGTTTGAGACTGGAGACTCAGTCACTTATAGTTTGAGTGAAATAAGTAGAGGCTGTGAAATTCATGACAGAACTTGAGCTAATAGTTTGTAATAGAGTGTGGTTTCAAAGGCTAGAAGCCAGGAGCTGACCACATCAAAATGCCACTTTCCTCCACTCGGGGTGATTGCAAATGGTCTTATAGATTCACTACTGGGTCACGTTGCTCAGCACAGCATTACGCACTAGATTTCTTTCCAAATATTTACAGAAACTAAAGTTAAAGTAAATTGTGACTATCCTTAACACAAATACTGCTGGGGCCAAGCTCAGGGAAGGCAAAGAGAGAGAAAGGAGAGTACTGCGCTGGCTTTGAGGGCTTTGTCTCTTTCTGAGAAATTCTCTTTTGAGGATATGACACAATTGATTCTATAAATAATTGGGACATTTGAGTACATACTAGTGGAGTTTTGGTTTTTAATGGGAAAACAAAGGCAAACAAAACATTCTTTGTGATGTAAGCACAATACATGGAGGAGTCCAGACTTAACAAAGGTCCACCCCATTGTTCACATATCTAGAGGTCTTTGTGTGAGGCAGAGGAAACCAGATCAGCAGGGAAAGGGAGCTTCCAAACCCTCTGTTCTGTTCCATTCCTTAGCTGCCCCCACCTTTCTAGGGTTTGATGTGGGAGTTGGTACTTTAGAAGGGACTGGTATCACTTCCCTAGAAACTAAGCTCTTGTTCTGCAGACTGAGATTGCATTTCATGAGGATGTTTTGTTCACACAGGTCTGTGTTTACTAAAGAATCTCCACATTAAATCACTTTTTGTTTCTATTGTTAGGATTGGGCCAGAACAGTGGTTTTCATTTTTCTGTAGACTTTCAGCCTCCAAAACAGAGAAAAGCAGACAAGCAGAGCAGGTCTGGGCAGGCAGGAGGTGGGCTCTTTACCTGAGCCCTAGGCATCTGCCTTTTAGGGTAGGGGCTTTTCTTTACACACCTCCAGGGGATCATATTCACATAATACAAGGACACAGCTGCCTTCCCAGCTGGCCTAATCCTTTCTTGCAACTGCCTAGGAATCTATATGGGTTCCATGGAACACAGTCTGAAGACAGTGGACTGGCCCAAGTTTTCACTTCAGTTACTAGAATACCTAGTTCTTAAGAGGCTCTTTTTTATGGAACCAGGTTTTATGATCTTGGGACCAAAATGCACCATGTGGGTGAATTACAAACCAGTCTCGGAGACTAGTCAAATGGGCTGCAGTGCCCAGGTGGAGTTTAGTGGAAGATAGGGGAGACATGTCTTTCTTTTAAAATTCATTCTCCCAAACTGACAGCATGCAGCCAGCAGAGTCCCATGCGCTCTGATTTTTCTACAGTAGTAAGAGGGTCAAAGACTCTTCATGGACTTAGGGCTATATACAGGGACGGGGACAAGGACAAAGTTAAGTAAGTGCATGATGGGAGGTAGTGAGGATGGGCTGTGGGTATGTGCATGTACATTCTTGCTGACTCCTGCTTGTAGAACTTACTCTGGCTCTATAACTATGTAAGTCTTTTGTGTTTAGTAAAATCAGGACCGTGGTCATCTTGCATCATGTTTGCGAGGCTCTGTTGCTTGAGCTGGAATTGTGGAATGAGTCAGAAGTTAAGACTTGGGTTTAGAGGGCAAATAAAGGGCAAAAATCTTGAGCTTTAGTGCCCCAAATTAAATGCAGCTCTATGCCAGTTCAACCTAACCCATAACACTTCCGTGGTTGCACACTAGTCTCTTTGATTTTTTTTTTTTTTTTTTTTGGTCAGTATCTGTCAAAATCTTATAGGCCTGGGTCCTAATAGCAGTGTGAACTCTTAAAATTAACAACATTTTTATTAACAATAAAAAGTAATAACTAACAACAGTTGAGCAATGCTTTTGGAATAAACCAATCAGTAGCATTTACAGATGGTTTCCTGTAAATGATCCTCAAATCTATAAGATCACCTTATTGTCCATTTGAATTTTTGCTTTAATTATTGGCTCTGTTGGTTCACACAGGGAAATGACCAACAATTGTTCATGAATATCTGCTACATGTCAGGTACTAAGGGCTTACTTCTGTTAATTCGTTTCGTCCGTGCTAAACTTATCCAGTATGTATTACTAACTCTATTTCATAACTGGGGAAACCAAGGCACAGAGCTTTCATAACTTGCCCAAGGTCATATGGCTAGTAGCCTAGAGCCAGCTTCTCAAACTTTAGCATGTATCAGATTCATAAATATAGAGATGGTAAGACCCAAACTACAGGAAATGTGGTTCAGTTGGACTGAGGAGAGGACTGAGAATTTTCATTTTTAACAGGTCCTTAAGTGACTATGATGCTGCTGTTTGAGGGTCAACTTTGAAATACTGGCCTGGACACTAATCACTTGCTTTCCCTATATTATAAAGCAGTCACTAGTTCATGAAGTTGTATTTGTGTGCACACATGCTCACGTGTGTGTTTATGTAGCAATCACCAACATCAGCTATCCTTAGAAACTCCATCTGTGGTCCCTGTCACGTGGAAAGAGGACCTGGGTCATAGGGAAATCTCCATCTAAGGCCATGGCTCCAGGCACAGAGAATGAAGATCATGGGGTCAGCTGCCTTTGATCATAACACTGGGCATGATTTGAAAGCAGGGGGCCCTCGAGGCTTATATACAGTAAGGCTAAAATTCCAAAGCTTTGTCTTTTCATCTGCTGGCAACACATAGGAAAGGCTATTTCGAGTGAGGAGCGGCCAGCAAAGGACGAGGTAGGAGCTCTGGGGAGTCTTGGAGTCCCTATCCACTTTCTGCTACCAACTTGCTGTGTGGTCCTGATAAGTTACAGATGGCTCCTTTCTCTGCAGACTGGCCTTGTCCAGCAGTTGTGGGCCATAATAGCTGTTCAGCCCACATGATAGTTACGATATTGTGAAATTGAAATAAGACACAGGGCATAGAGATGTTTTGAATAGGTAAAAGCCCTCTCTCCAAACAAAATAAGAGACAAAAAGAAACTTGAAACTCCACTTAAAGCTTTTTGCAAATTAAGGATTGTCTTTTAGAAATGGACTTATCACCAAGTACCTTGAAATAACCAACTCATTTTGTTGGCTTAGGATAATCATGAGATTAAAAACATAATTTATGCATGTTTTTTTCCAGGAGCTTCTCTCTGAGGTACAGCACATCTGTCCTGAGACAGGCAGGCACTGTTAGACCAACCATAAATTGTAATAATAAAAATGAACAAACATTTGCAGGCTTGCCACACATCAGATACTGTTCTGAGCTTGTGCTTATTTAATACTTAAAATAACTGTGAGGGATGATGATGGTGCTCTCAGTCCCTGTCTCAGAAAGATGAGGAGGAGGTTTGGTCTTTTGATAGTGGTGGAACCCAGACTTGCATCTCGACCATTTGAGTCTAGGGCTTTGCTCGTAAGCATGACACGTCTCTGTTTCCCTAACTGTACTGTCAACGAGGGTATCCCAACTTCAGCTTACATTTGGGGCTGAACAGTTCTGCACTGTGGGGCTGTCTTGTGCATGGTATAATGTGTAGCCACATCCTGGGCCTCACCTCTCCCACCATTGACACCCATATTAATGATCCTCACATCCTGGATCTTGGTTTCCTCTAGAAATAGCTTTGGACAGTGTCAGGACAGCGTCAGAGGGATCCTTCCAGTTTCACTCAGGCTTTACTTACAATTTGATACGCTTCAAAGGTGGCTCGTAACTGCTTGTAGCTCCTCTTGGCCAGGACTTCATTGAAGGCAAGCTCATCAGTGCCCCAGCGACCTTCTCCTGCCTCAAGGGTCAAGTGTAAACAATATGAAAAGGACTCCTACAAAAGGACTGAACATACGATATTGCTGACACTGGGTAGGCAAGAAGTTACAGTTGACGGAACATAGAACACTACAGCTGTTTCTTGGCAGCCATGCCTCCTGATGGTGCTTTGTGGTTAAATATCCTTGAAGCTGTAGTTGGGTTATTCTTACTACATCAGAAAATAAGGTGACAGGGTTCTTTCCCAGTTGCCACACATACACACTAACTAAGGGTCTGTATCCTTAAAAGATCCTAACGTCATTATAATATCACTTATGCTGTGGTTTTGGCTCCCTACCTTGTGGGCTTCTCTAGAAGATCATGGGAAGAAATATCCTAAAAGGGAGATCTTGAGAAGAAGTGAGTGACCCCAGTAAGGCTGTGAGCAGGCCTCATTTACAGAGATTTAGAAAACATGTACTGACTAGAAGTCAAGTAGGTAGACTGAGCATTCTTAGCTTGTAACCCACAAACATATTCCACATACGTATCTGTATTATTTATACCCTCCTGTGTTCCAAACAGATCTGAGGTGCTTAACCCCATCTATAAAAACATGTTTTTGTCTTTATAGATGACCTATGCAAAGTTAAGCATATGTTTACTTATTAAAGGTCATCATTCATTCCCAAGTGTTCTTATTTGTATGAAACAAGGAAATGCTTGTTGAAACAATGCTAATTAAAAAAAAAAAAAGTGAAGAGCCCGGCACATGCACATACTTACATCATATAAATCTTTAGCGTCTTGACCTGCCAGATCTTTGTCGACAGTATCTTCTTCATCACGGTTAGCCTACAAAAATTATACATTGCTATTAACTCGAGGACCTGTTTGATCACAGAAAGAGAAGTCCTGTAATACTGGGATGACTTTGGAGGGGTGACTTGAAGCCCAGTTCAGCCTGGCAGAGACGCAAGGCCTGCTCTTTGCTGCCATCTTTTGGGCAAGATTGAAAACAGTATAATTTCTGTGACTCTCCCACCCAGCCATGGTCACTCACCAAGACCATAGCCTTCAGGGCAGGCTGATAGCAACCTGTGAGTCCACTAGGAAGCAAATATCCTTCCTTCCCAAATGAATGTTGCCATTCAGTAGTCAGTGCCAAAGAACTCTGAGAGATGGTCCAGGGAGACCATGGAAGTCTAAAGTAAGCCCTGGGTGAGTGGCAGAGTGCGAAGATGACCCCAGGGACCCGACTCCCTGCTATAAGCCCCTTTCCTTGGATGATCTCATGATTATATCATGTCCAATAGCATCAGGGAGTTTTGAAAATGTAATCCATCCAAAGGGAGGGCCTGGCCTAATGAGAAGGGAATTCTTAGAGGTCAGAGGTAGAAGATCCAGGGGAGCTCTTGCTATTGTCCAGGAGGAGAGCAGACAGCCATTCTGTGAACTGTCTAGGAGCTATGTGTTAGGGAGCTGGGAAAGGTCTCTAGGAACTCACAGTGGCCTCTGGATGACAGCTGGCAAGAAAGCAGTCACATCAGGAAGAGGACCACAAGGAAATGAATTCTCTCCCTGAGCCTTGCGGGAGCTGGCAGCTCTGGCTGGCAGCTGATTTCAACCTGATGAGAACTTCCTCCATGAAAGACTCAGCTAATGGACATCTGGACCCCTGATCCATGAGCATTAGAAGATACTAGGGGGCATGAAGTATTTGAGCTGTGGAGTTTGGGGAAGTTTAGGGAAGAAGAACACTTATCCACCCTTCCTGTTGTGGTTGAAACACATGTGCCCCACCCCCATGTTCTCTGCTGTCAATATGCCCACACTGGGAGAAATGAAATGGTGGAAATGGACAGAGGTGTGTCAGTGAGAACTGGATGCTGTCTGTCTGGAGTCTCAGGGGCTGGGTCCCAGGAGGGCCAGTCCTGAAAGACCCACTCTCCTGGCTGAGTTTTGTGGGTCCCACAGATTTAGACTAAAGCTAAATCCTGGACAAAGGCAGAGTTGTATGTAGGAAAGGGCTTTGCTTTAGGTCAGATGATTCTTGTTCCTGGGCTGTGTCTTACTGGCCTTGCTACCCATCTCTGAGGCACGGGTTTCTTCTTTGATCAAATGAGGGGATATTAACTGCAAACAGTGGAGTGTTGGGAGGGGCGATAATTTCCCAGTTGCTGAGCTAATGGAACAAGAGTTGTTTGGGGTGGGGTGTCTCTTCTTTTGTACTTGTTTTTTGGTTCTGAGACAGGGTCTCATCTAGCCCAGGCTGGTCTCAGACTTGATATGCAGACAAGGATGACCTTAAACTCTTGATCCTCCAGCCTCCACTTCCAGAGTGCTAGAATCATAGGTGAGCACCACCACTTCCAGTTTACATGGTACTGGGGATTGAACCTTTGTGCATGCTGGGCAAGCACTCTATTGCCTGAGCTACATCCCCAGACCCTTCTCTAATGCTTTAAATAAATGCTTATCTTCTTTGCTTTTTTGTCATGATACCACACTGCTGAAGGTTATGATGACAACATGGGTGAAGTCTGTTTATTCTCACCTGTAACAGAGACACCAGAATCTTTCTTAGGTTTCCATTTATATCATCTTTGACATCAGATTCAAGGCTCTTGTCAAATACTTTTGAGGAAGAAAAAAGGAAAATCAGATGATTTCATTCTCAGATGTAGTTCAAAAGGAACATACTTTATCCAAAGCCAGAACAAAAGATTGCTTACACTTTTGGTAGGCTTCTTTGATGGCACTGATTTCCTAGGAAGGTAATTGAGACAAATCAATATTCAATATTGGAATCAATTGAAATGTAGAGAAAGGAGGCAGAAGTCTGTCTCTGGATACAGGATGTCTTCGTGATTTCCTCTTGAGATGCTTGTCCCTATGGGGGGCAGGGACCAGTGGGAATTCTCCAAGTATTTAGGGATACTTTCTGTGTAAGCATTTCACACAAGTAGTGTATGCATACAGTCTCCTTAGAAATGGAGTCAACCTGGGAATCTATTACTGAATGAATGAAGAAAATGTAGTATATTTATACAATGGAATGCTATTCATCTATAAAAAGAATAAAATTCTGTCATTTGTGGCAACATGGTTGAGCCTAGAGGATATTATGTTAAATGAAATAATCCAGACACAGAAAGATACATACCACGTAATCTCATTCATTTGTGGAATTTAAAAGTTAACCTCACAGATGTTGGGAGTAGAATGGTGGTTACCAGAAGTTGGGGAGAAGAGAAGGGAGGGACCAAAGGTACTAAATTACAGTGAGACAGAAGGGAGACATTCTGACATGCTATTGCACAGTAGGATGGTTAAAATTAACAATAATATATTTTCAACAAGTCTAGAAGAGAGGGTGTTGAATGTTCTTACCACAAAGGTATGATAACTATCGAAACTGATAGATGAACTGGTTATTCAAATCTGACCATGACACTTTGTTTACATGGATCAAAATATCACATTGTAGCCCATACATCTGTACAATGATTACGTGTCAATTAAAAATAGGAAGGTAGAAATACTACAGCTAAGTTTATACCTTTCCTCATCTCCTCACCCCTTTGCATTCCCTCATCACCATCCAGACAGCCAAGGTGGGAGTTCAATGTGTATCTTGCAGATACTTTTTCTTTGTTCTGTATACATGGGGTATGTGCTACTGAAAATATGGAGAATTTTTTTTGTCTGTATCACATGTTTAGAAAGAAGTAGAATACAGTGCTTATGTTCTATGGCTTATTTTTTCCACCAGGCTATCTTGGAGATCCAGCTATGCCCTGGTATAGATCATCCATGTTTTTTGAAGGGATATAAAACATTCCATCCTAGCTTAAGCCACAGTTCATTTAGCTAGCCTGCTGCTGGTGGCTGCTTAGGTGGTTTCCAGTGTGCCTCTGTTTTAAACAAGCTTCATCTAGTAAACAACCTGCTGGGGCAAGAGTACAAGTTTTTCTCCAGAGTGTATGCTGGTGGGAATTATTTTGCATCATCTGTGTCAAGCAGCCCACCTCGGAGCTGTCTCAACTTACACTTGATTCAGCAGTGAGCAAGAGCAGGCATTTCCTCCTAGTTCTTCTCATAAGCAGGCTAAAATGCAAGTCAGAGGGGAGCAGGGGCAGGTGTGTGTGGGTGGCCCTGAGTGAGCAGATGTGGGTTGTAGAAGGGGAAGGAAAGCAGGCCAGGTGGTGGGGGCTGCTCACCACTTGTATTTCTGCAGCTCTCTCCCCGTTTTCCTTCCCACCCACTCCTGGGTTCAGGCAGATTCCAGCTCTTGCTCTGTTTTCTTTCTCTTTACCACCAAGTCTATTTGGCTGAAAGAAAGGCTTTGCTGGTTGCTTGGATCTTAAAGGAACCATGGCACGATTAGGAAAATAAGAATGTAAGTACCCTTTTCACAAAAGCAGATACTGCTTGTCCTTGACATTGGAGGCTTCCTTGCAGGGAACTTGGTGCTTCTGGGAGGGATGGGCATGAATGGGGAAAGTGCAATGATACCACATAGGGCCTGTGCTAACTCTCTTCTAAGGTTCTATCCTATCTTCTTGAGATAGAGGGATTATAGGCTGGTGATGCAGCTCAGTGGTGGAGCATTTGCCTAGCATGGGTAGTCTCTGGGTTCAATTCCAATACCTAACAAAGGAAGAAGAGATGGAGGGGTTATCCCCAGGGATGCTGAGGACTGCGATTTACTACGGTGGCTTGGATCATGGCCGTGCTATGGGGACATGACTGAGCCTAAGTCTGGACCAAGCAGAGGAAGCAGGTGGCTAGTATGGGGTATAACATTGATTCCATGTGGGGACAGGGCACTGTTTCAGATTTTCCTTGCTGTCTGTTACTTCCTGGGAGGTCTCAGAATATTGAGCTTTCCTGGCACTTTCCTTGCCATGCCTCCCCATTCTCCTGGGACTGGTGGTTATAGAGAAGGGAGGGATCCCCAAGGATGATTTGTGGATTCTATTCACTCTTGGTCCTTTTGGCCTCTAGAACCAAAGACCAATTGACTTCCACTGGGGCCTTCACAAATGTTCTCTTCATCTCCTGAAAGGGTGGCTTGTGCCCAGGACAAGTGAGGAGGTCTGCAGATAGAAGGACAGGATTGGGGTTGGGGATGGAACTCAGTTGATAGCGTCCTTGCTTAACATGCATGAAACCCCGAGTTCAATGTCCAGCATTGCATACATCTGGGTTTGGTAGTGCATGCCTGTAATCCCAGCACTTAGGAGGTGGAGGCAGGAAGGTCATCATCAGCTACATGATGAATTTGAGACCAGTCTGGGTTACTTGAGACTCTGCCTCAAAAAACCAAAACCAAAACCAAAACCAAAACCACAGAGTCCCCTGGGGAGGTACTAGCCAGTGACTGGGGATGTTCACTGGGATTCCCCAGTACCACTCATCTTCCTGCCTCATCATAGACTTTTTCGGCTGTATTCTAGGTAACTGTCCTGTATGAGGCAGTGACACAAACATCCTTGGCTGCATATTGATATTCAAGCCAGAAGGCCTACAAGGTCAAACTGGAAGCAGATAAAATAGAATACTGACTCATGTATGAAAATTGCATCTGTTAGAAAAATAAAATCTAGATTCATATAACTCCTCTGGAACAATCTACTCTGTCAAGCCAGGGGCATCAACACTAAGACTGTCTTCTGGAAGCTGGAAGAGATGGCCCTCCTGCATAGGCTTAGAAGCCATACTTCTGCCCAGGCTGTTTTTCACCCATGGAGAGCATGTAGGGAAGGAGCTTCCTCCAGGGATCCTCAGCCATGTCTGATACAGCAGGGAATGAGGCCAAAGGCTCAAGAGGGGCTGACCTTATTGCTTCTTGTGCATAAGATCTCGATGAGCACTGCCTCGTCTGTACCCAAGCCTTTCATAGCCTTCTGTAGCTGTCTAGCGGCATATTCGTTGGGGTGGTCCAGAAGGGCCAAAGCTGTCTTCTCGAAGTTTCCACTCAGCTCACTCTTGAGCACCTCCTCCAAGTCCTGTAGGAAGCATAGAGAAATTGAATGGGAGTGTCATGGAAGGCCAGCATGGGTATCTACATTACTGCATGGGCTCCAGGGACAGCACATCTACCCTAGACACACATGGGAGTGATCCAGGCAAGAGCTACCTGATCTTGAGGACAGAGGTCACCATGATTGCTCATCCTTCTCCCTCACCCCCACCCCCAAGGCTGGTTGAGAGGCAGAGGAGCCCTGCTCAGAGATGGAGACCCCAGAATTACAATAGCAAGAACATTTGCAGAACATTTCAGGATTCAGAGAGCTTTTATCTGCTGAAGTTCAAGTCAGCCCCACAGATGTATTATCTCCACCTACTGAACCTCAGAGGGTGGACGATTTGCCCCAAACATTAAGCTAGAAAAGACTCAACAATTTCCACCAATGGTCAGTGTTCTCTAGAAAACAAGGGGAATAACAAGATTAATCTCCTAGGAAGAGATTAAATCAAACTTAAGCCCTCATTTCAGCTGAGCTTTGGGAATCGCTATTGGGGACTTAAATGAGAGAATCCATGCAAACACTGAGCACAGTACATATATGTTAAATATTCAATAAATGCTTATGATAACACATATTGTACAAGAATATTATTTTTCCATCCTGAAAAGGATTTTCAAAGAAAGGGAAAATTAACTATTTCTCTGAGAAACCTCTGCTCTCTAAATCTAGAAAAAAACATAGAAGATTTTTATATAAGAGGACTTGCCATCTTAAAAGGGGGCCGTGATATCATGCCTCTGTCTTGTGCTGTTGCTTCACCTAACACTGCATCCTGTGAAGGCAGGCCATCCTCAAGACTGGATGGTGTAGGTCCACCCAAATATATTTTTCTAAGTTAGATAGGCATTGTGCAGAACTGCAGAAAAGTCCCAGCTGCCTATTCTTAAAAGCTACAAGCATGAAAGCAAATCTGGTGTTTATATGCTATTGGACCAGAGAGTGGGCTCAGGACACCTGGATTCTCATTCTGGCTTTCCTGATAGCTTGCTGTCGTGTCTTGACATAGCGATTCCCAAAGCTCAGCTGAAATGAGGACTTAAGTTTGATCATCTGACCTCCTCCAGGTTTCTGAGCCTCTCTTTGGTAGTCTCAGCTCTCCGACCCCAGCTGAACAGGAAAGTCATCAAATGATCAGCACGGGAAGGTCTCACAGATCTTATATTAGAATGTTCTCCCTTCATTTTCAACCGAGTCTCCATTTATTCTTATTTGGACAAGGGTTTAAGATGTCTTGTATTTGGCTTTCTCAGTAGGCTAAACATAGAGCTACAACTTGTGGGACTGCTAGAGTAAGGCACAGAGAAAGGATGAAAGTTCTACTTCATTCAATTCTGTTCAATGCAGGTGAACTGAAGAGTTACTTATTTTCATAAAACATGACATTAGCAAGGCTGATATAATGCACAAAAATGGTAACAGCACAGCCATTTGTCCATTTGCTATGTAAGTAAATAGCTCCATTATGGTACTGAGCTTCTGGTCTTGATGGTGGAACCCTTGGATATGGGTCTTGGTTCTCTTTTTAAAATTAAATATGGAGGAAGAAGTACAGGGAATTACCCAGGGGGAGTGGGAATAGGGACTTGGGATGAGTATGATCAATATACATTGTACACACCTATAAAATTGTCAAAGAATAAATTTAAAAACACTAAATGTTGCTTAAAATATTTTAATATTTTTATTTTATGTATATGAGTGTATTGCCTACATGTATGTAAGTACATCTGTGTTGTGCAATGCTCATGGAGGTCAGGAGAGGGCATGGAATTCCCCTGGAACTGGAGTTACAGATGGTTGTTAGCTGCCCTGTGGGTGCTGGGAATCGAACCCAGGTCCTCTGCAATAGCAGCCAGTGCTCTTTAACCATTGAGCCACCTCTCTAGCCCCAAATGTGTTACTTTTATATATAAATATTTGACCATATGAGATTTATTATTCCTCTGTATAAAATGGAAGAAATCACATCTGTCATAACTTCTTATTGGTGTGTATGAGAAGGGTAGTAAGTGGCCATCTCCATTTGTGTGTGTGTGAGGAGACCAAAGCCTATTATCTACTTAGTGTCAAATTCATAGGAAAACCCATCTTTCTTCCTCTTTTTGTATGTGTAGTGACTGAAGCTGTGAAGGCTTTATCAATATGTGAGAATATAGCATGATTTTAACTTTGCATGATGGTAATTCCAGTGACATTAAGAAAAGGTTATGGCTCAGGCCTGTGATACTCCACTACTTTTGGGCTGAAGCAGGAGGATCTCAAGTTCAAGACCAGCATGGACAACTCAACTGTATTCTGTCTCAAAACAGAAATAGATAACTCAATGGTAGAAGGTGACTAGCATGAGTGGGGTTCTAAATTCAATCCCCAATACACCAAAAAAGGGTTGTATTGTGTTCATTATATAGCAATAAAGAAGCAATTAAACCTAGTGGACACTTGAAGATTTCTATATACAACAGCATCATAGATAACAAAGAATCAAAGAAAGTAAAGAAATAAAAAAGTGTTAAAACTTAAGGAAGAATTTCAAAAGTTTTCTATACCACTAATTTATGAAGAATGTATGAATCTTGAAGACAGTTGAATACATGAAAAAGTCTACATAAAAGATGACTTGTGGGAATTGACTTTCAAATCACTGCCCCATCTACAAATTGTTATGTGCAATTAGTCCAAATTGAATAGAAGAAGAAAAGACTTAATAGAAAAATGAAGCCAATTAAAAATAATGAGTTATGGAGTATTGATTTTATAGGCTATTAAGTTGACAAAGCAATTTCAGTTTTTCTGAAGTCAATTCGAAGTTCTAGACGTTTTAATTCTCACATTTATTCCAGTTTTGAAGAGGTTCTGTGCTCCCTAGGGAGTGTAGAGGAGGCAGGAAGTCAAGGCTGGTGCACCCCTACACTTACCTTGCCATATTTTGCCTTGTAGTTCTGCTTTATTTGTTGCCTCTGATCTGATGTCCTGTGTGACAAGACTTCAATGATGGCCATTTCATCTGTTCCTGAAGTGCATGAGAGAGAGCAGGAAGAACCACAGAGGTTATTCTTAGTCAAGTCTGAGGAAGCCATGTCACCAGCTTAAAAGGGGTCAGAAGCTGAATTCAGTGGGGCCAAATGGACCTGCTAGCTTTGTTGTCTGGTGCTGAAAACCATATTCTTGCCACTCCCTCAGACAAATATCCATGGAGACTTCACCCTGCACAAGGGACAGTGAGAGGAACTGGTAGAAAGAGGAAGGACTATGGCCTATTCCCTAATTTCATTGCTAGGGAAATGAAAACATGTCCACATGAAACCTGAAACCTGTGTGTGAACTTTACAGCCACATTATCTGTAACAGGCCAAAGGAGGGAACATTGCAAAATCCCATCAGGGTAAACAAAATATGGGGTATCCATACAATAGAATACTATTTGACCATGAGAAAGACTAGAGTACTGATACACATGAATGAACCTTGTAAACATTACATTAAGTAAAAGGAGCCCATCACAGAAGACCACATATTGTATGATTCCATTGATAGAAATGAACAGAGGCAGAAAGTGGGTTAAGGGTTGGGGGTGGGAGGGATGGGTAAGGGGATGACAGCTAGGAGTTTCTTTTCAAGGTGAAGAAAATGTAAAAATTGACTGTGGTGGTGGTTGCATGCAGGGCAGTGCCTGAACAAGACAGTCTAACTCTTGGAGTCATTTAAGTCAAGAGTGAGCCTGATCTGTTTTCAGATTTTGATTTCTCTCAGAACTGTTCTTCAAATAAAGGGTGCATCTCTTTATTTAAATAGTACACCCATCAAGATATGGGGAAGGAGATGAGGAACTTATCAGGGAAGAATTTTCCGTTTCTGATCCCTACTGATCCAGAACAGCATTCAAAACCACAAAGTGATGTTATCAGTCTAATTTAACCTGTTCTTTGCAACATAAACTGTGAATAATTAATTGCTTTGTAACATCACTGATTTCAGGACTGATGTTTTCACAACACACACACACACACACACACACACACACACACACACACACACATTATTCTGGGCCAGGGCTAGGTAAGGGTCATGAGGGAGACATGGAGGACATAACCCAAGATTAAAGCTGTGTTCATCTTAGCTTCTAAAATTGATTACAAAGAGCCCAAGGCTTAGAAAGCTTGTTTACATTGTTTTCCTAAAGACTACCTAGATTTAAATAAGCTGATTATACAGTAGGAAGGCAGATTGAATAGACAGTGTTAAATGATCTCAAAACATAAGATTAACTTTGGTTACAAGGTTAGGAAAGACAGGAGGCATTCCCAGAAAAGTCATTTCCACAGTTGCAGATGTCTACAAATATACTAAACAATGAACCATATATTTTAAATGGATGAATTACATGGTATATGACTTATATCTCAATAAACCTATTTTTAAAATTCATAAAAGATATGGTTTGTTCCTTGTTCTCTGAGTATGTTTAAAAGAATATATAAAATTAAGGCTCAAATTGTCATAATATTAATCTCATCCATAAATTTGTGTGTCTGTGTACATGAATGTGTGTGTTTGTGAGCATGCAGGTGCATTGTGTAGGGTGCATGTGCACTTGTGTGTGCATGCATGTGAGGCCAAAGGACAATCCCCAGTGTTGTTCCTTGGACACAATCCACTTTTTTTGAGGCAGGGTTTCTAAGTGGCCTGGAACTCACCAAGTAGGCTAGGTGGGCTGGCCGATGAGCTCTAAGGATCTATCTGCCTTTACCCTCTTAGGACTGGGATTACAAGTATGTTCTACCACACCCAATTTTTTAAAATGTGGGTTCTGGGGATCAAATTCAGGTCTTTTACTAATTGAATTATCTCCCTTACCCTTTATGTCTGTATGCATTCATATCTCCAGAGAAAAGTGCTAAGTGGGACTAGAAAAGGCAGTTACCCTTTAAAATCCCATTAAACATTTGAATTATGCTCTTTCTACAAAGCTCCCCCTCCCACTCCAGATGTTTGAAGTAATACATACTCATTGTGCAAATGTGATTAGTACTAAAACTTATAATGAATAATAACAGAAGAATATAACCACGGAAACAGGATTAGAAAAATGGTTAGGTATGGTCAGTACAGGCATGAGAAGCACTGACCTTTGAGCCTGAAATTTGATTTCCTGAGATGACTTCAAGTCATGGCTCCATCATTTACTGACTACATCCCATTGGATAAGTTATGTGCCTTGTTTGACCTCAGTTTCTCACCTTTGAGATAGAGTCATGCAGTTCAAGGCTGTGTGACAATGAAATGAAAGAGTCCAAGGAGCAGTCCATAGTGGATACAGTATGCATCTTGGAGACCACAGACACCAAGCAGAATAAATGCCTAAGTACCTAGAATGGCCTCACATCCATGGAGGATTTGTGTCCAAGCCACTCTGTAGGGGATGCTCATGTCAGGGATAGAGTACATTGGGGTCCAACAGTGGCAAGCTCTAGAAGGTACTTCCAAGTTCATTTAGTACAAAGTCCTAGTGACAGATGAGCAAACCAAGGAATGACCCTTTTCCCTTCCTAGATATATGTTTTTATGCTTCGAACACCTTGACTACACCTGTCCTCCTGTTGGTTTCTTCCTCCCCCTCTCTGCCACCTCCCTTTCAGCATCCTCTGTTGGCCTTTCTTTCTTCTGCCCTCTAACCTGTTCCCAGTTGTCCTTTCTAGTTGTGACCCCCTGCCCCCAGGTGATTATAGTTCCTTTCCAAAGAGCCCAAGATCAACCCTTCTTTCTTATCTCTTCCTTCCATTTCCCATCTTATCTCTAGCTGTCTGTGGTCATGTTCCCATGGATCTCCAAGGCCTTTGCATTTGCAAGTAGAGCTTAGTTGAATTCATTTGGTCCATTCTTAAGTCCACTTTTGTTTCATTTGTTCATCTTTGTACATTATCCTTGTTAGAAAATTCAAAGTCACCTACAGGGCCCACATGAAACAGAGTTGACATATTTTGATGGAAGGATTGGGAGCAGGAAAAATCTGGCCATAGGTGTGGACAGGAGCTTGAAAGGATCTGGCTGGAAATGGGGAAGAGAAGTAAAAGGAGCCTGGCAAACACCTGAAATGTTTTACCTTCACTTAGGCTTTGGCATCAGCTCTTCAAACTGTATTTGGAAAGACCCAGAAGGAACCTAGAAGGAGAGAGGTCCAGCCCAGAGGATAGAGTCCTGAAGAGCCACCAGCTTTGTGTCCTTGGACCATTCACTTCATCTCAAGGATTATTTCCACCACCTCTATAATTCTGGGAAGATTTAGCTATTTAGGTTCAACTGGAGAAAGAGAAAATTCTAGGATGAGCTCACTTGCAAAAATAGCAGGAGATAATTGCCTGTCTCTGGATCAGTTCCAGTGCTGTTATTCATGTTGTTCCTCTTCATTTCCTCTGGGAGCTTCACCTACATAATGTGTGTCCAGTTATTCTGTGATGTTATAATTATGTTTTAAATGTTTGATTGCCAGAAATCTCACCTCAGAGGGATTTCTTTTTCTCTTAATTACCACTAGAAAGTACTCTTTTAGTTCAGTGGAATCTCTTTCTATTTGGAGGGCCTCAGCACCCCAGGCTCCGATCTTGGCACCTTCCATGCCTGGAAGAACTTTCTTGTCTACATTTGACTTGTTCACTATTTAGGGTCAGAAGGAATCTGGGGTTCTCTCTGGTTTCCTCTTTTTTTTTTTTCCACTCTGTATCTAATTAGTCCTCTGCTTCCAACCTTTCAAGCGAGGAAGGGTCCCAGGGGAGCCCATGGAACTTTTTAGAATAACCCTTATTATTCACCTTCTTCCAAACTCTTGCTGTTTGCTCTAGAAGTGATCTGCAGCTCCTAGAACAAGCAGTGCTTTTTTGCTTATATGTGGGTTTTTACACTGTTCCCTCCACCTGGCACACCTTTATTGCTGATCTTCACCTTCCTTCCCACTCCTTCTGATTCAGGACTCAACTCATCAGAATTTTCTGCACAGATGAGACACCCCTCCCTCCATGTTCCACACGTGGCCTGTCCTTACTGGCTCTGCTAACACATATAATACTGCAAGTTCCATGAGAACAGGGTGTTCATTCACTGCTGTATCCACAGGGACGGCCCTTGATATTTGCCAATATTTATGACTTGCTCAATGAATGCATATACGTAGTCATGAATGAATTTGCCTGTCATTATGATAGAACTTTGTCTCCGTATTAGTGTGATTTGATTTGCATGTTATACTCAGATGGGCTATTTGTAACTAGATACCAATAGTAAATCTCTACTCTGGTGTCATGTGCAATCTGTATTTGGATCTTCAGGGAAACCGAGCTTATTTGTAAAAATATATTCTCTGGATTTTCCTTCCTGGAAAGCTTTAAACAACAGAGATCTTAAGATGGGCATATTGGTATACCCTTGTAATTCCAGTGCTGTGGAAACTGAGGTAGGAAGGTTATAAGTTTGAGATCAGCCTGGGCTATGTAGTGAGCTCAAGGCCATCCTGGGCTATATACATGAGACACTGTGTCAAAAGGCAAAAAGTAAAACAAACAGCAGCAGAAACACAAGAAAATCCAGTTGTCTAGGATGGCTCAGCACTAGCCTGTAGGTAGGGGAAGGGCAGAACAATGATACCTAGATCTTTCAAGCCATTTGAAACGAAGTCTCAGGTTCATCCTGGGACCTATTCTCACTATCCAACCAAGAAGCGATTTGCTGTAAAGTAAGGTGACCTCATCCTGCGTTTCACAATACATGTGTCATATAAGCAGTCTGTGCTGCTGAACATTTTCCTATAAACATTTACAATGGTTTGAGGCACTGGAGCCAGTCTCCAGTGGTTCTGGGAAAGACTTTTAAAACTGAAAGACGGACCTTCCACACTAGCTGTGCATCGGACACTGGAGGGGAGTAATTACATAGGAGAGATCAGAGCCAGCGTGATCACTAGTCCAGAAGTGCCTGTGGGCCTCTGTGGTATGCTTTCCCAGCAATTTTCTGGGAAGCAACTGAGTGGTATTGAAGTTTTGGAAGGGTGGAGGTCATGGGGTTTGAAGGCCACAGGGTCCATGTGGCAAATAAACAGGCTGAACCGGTGGCAGAGGCTCATCGTTCCCACCCAGTTGTTCTGGCTGATCCCATGAGGCTGTGGCCCCAGATCTACTGCTCAAGGCCAGGCCCCAAACTCTTCACTGGGATGCCCCACCCCTCATTTGTCCTTGGAAGAGGGGCTCAAGGAAGGGAAGGGAATCAGTGAGTGGGGCTGAGTTCTGCCTGCCTGGGTGGACCATGGCCTTGCACGTATTCGCTGTATTCAGTCCTGAAGCTGTGTCAGTTCCCGCACATTTGGTGGCTTCAAACCACACAGTCTGCACCCTCAGAGTTCCAGAAAGTAGAAGTCAGAAGTTACTGTGTCAACAGTAACTTAAAGTCTTAAAGACACTTGTACATTGTATTTAGGGTCTATCCAGGTAATCCAGGATGCTCTCTTCTTAGTATTCCTGGCTCTGTAATGCGTACAGACTCCTTTGCCAAATGAAGTCATTTTCCTAGGTTTTAAGTGACTAGACCTTCAGAGGCCTCCATTCAACCCAGTGCACCTTTAGTGATGGAGAACAAGTATGGGCCTGCTCGATGCTGAGACTGATCTAATTTGATATGAGCGTATTGTTCAAAAGAGTGGGTTAAAATTACCATGTAACAAGGGCCAGTGGCATGTGTACATTGCATACACTCATGGTATGGGGAAAGAGTGCTGGGCTGAGAGTCAGGAGAGCTGGCTGAGTTCTAGGCCAGGAGTCTGCTTTTAAATGGCTGAGCGGCCACCTCTTCAAACCTCAGGTGGACTCAAGCTTGTCCTAAGAAGTGATCCCACTGTTCATACAATCTGGGGCCTGTTGGAAATGCAAGCTGGAGGGTCTTTTTCTTCCCTGTAGCCCACCAAGACCCCCTGATGGGTAGCATGCCTTTGAACATCTGAGAAGCATGGATTAGACCATCTCCAGTAAATTTGACCTCTAAGAGGCTGCTGGGCCACACACTTGGGATGAAGACATTCTCTTCATTGGGTCAGTCTGTGACAGCTCTATAGGAAGCATGTCTAAGCAGAGGCCAATGGAGGGTGAGCTGCCTGGCAGCTGGGATGAGGACAGCAGAGGGGCCTAGACTGACAGAGTGGCAGTGGCAGGGAGAGATTGGGGTCTGACTGTTCTGGGTTACCCGTGACCCAGACCCAGCATATACTAACAACATCATAGCATACCAGGAGAGTAAAAATGCCCAACTGAAATCTGTAAGTTTTGCATTACTTGGAGCAATAAACTATCATGTTGTTCTGTGACATTATTATTTTATAGACTTGCATGGGAGTGTGAGGGTTGGGAGTGCCTGTAATATTTGTCACGCTTGGGGCTTCTAATGCTTCTCTATCCAGCACAGCAGCTTCTGACCCCTCAGGGCTATTCAGTAAGGATGACTGACACAAGCCAACATGTTTGTAGGTACAGAGTACATGCTGGGGTTCAGAGACTTAATATGGAAAAAGAATGTAAAATACTTCATTCATAATTTTTTGTCAGTATCCAAATAAAATATCTTTAATATAAAAATGGGGTTAATGGAACTGTATCACTAAAAACAATGCATTTAATCTCTCTTTTTTTTCTTTAAAAATTGACTTCTTATGCCAGGTGTGGTGGTACATGCTTTTAATACCAGCACTTGGGAGGCAGAGGCAGGTGGATCTCTGTGAGTTTGAGGCCAGCCTGGTCTATATGGAGAGTTCTAGGTCAGCTGGGGCTACAGGGAAACCCTGTCTCAAAAAGACCAAAAAAAAATTGACTTCTTGAAAATTGAAAGTGACACTGGGCATGGTGGCCCATGCCTATAAACTCAGCACTTGGGAGTTGGAGACAGGAAAATCAGTTCAGACCAGCATCATCTACATAGTGAGTTCCAGGCTAGACTGAACCACATGAGTCACTATCTTAGAAACAGCAATAGGGCTGGGAGATGACTCAGTGATAAAGTGCTTGTTGTACAATCATGAGGACCTGTGTTGGGTATTTTAAAATTAACTCTGGATGAGAAGCACGTTATATCATTACCACACCCAACAAGGCTTCCATCTACATCGCCTGGCCAGGCATCAAGACCTTACCACAGAGCATCAGAGAAGTCTCAGCTGCCTGGAAAGTACCCTGGAGTCCCTTGCTACTCAGCAAAACTCAGCCATAAACATCCTGAGGTTTCCTCACAAGGCCTGTCCTGGACAGCTGTCCTCTAGATATGAGAATAGAGACTGGACCCACGGCAGGATGTGAGCAGGAAGCTGCAGCCTCTGTGCTTTTCTCTGATGTCCGCAAACCAAGCTGTCACTGCCAAGGAGGGCACACCAGTCTATTTCTAGATGTGTCTCTCCTTTGTCGTGAATCTAGTGCTCATCAGCCTCATTCCTTACCACCTCCCATGACAGGGGCCAAAGTGATTTGGACAAAATTTAAGATTGCGTGGACTTCACTTCTTATGAAGTTTCTCATAACCTCAAGGTCAAATTAAATGTTTCAAAAAAAAAATCAAGCTTTCAGGATCCTGAAGAGTAATCAGTCCCGATGGTAACTTTAGGATCTTGAATAAAGAGATCGTTGGAAGAGAGCAACCTGATTTAGCTTGGAATGCATACACTTACAGGCCATTTTCCTATCACTATGGGAAAGCTGGTTATGACATCAAGCTTAATCAACTTCAAACATAAATTAGTTAACAAAATGATTTCCATACCCATTCCTTTGCAGGCTTTGTACAGCTTTTTGGCATCTCGATCCACATCAAAACCTTCATGGCTTCTCAGTTTGGCCTGGAGAGGAAATAATTCAAAAGGTTGGGTGGATAATGCACTTGTGCTTCAGTTAGTTTTGTTAGAATTGGTGCCTAACTAGAAGACCAAGCAGTCACCCAAACAGAGGCCCAGCTGCCATCCCACACACAGGCGCTTGTGGAAATCAGCTGGGGAAACTTTGGCCCCAGAGAGGTAACTGGTACTTCTTGGAGCCAGCTGGCCTTGGGTGATCATGGAAGAAGAGTCTCCTCAGTTCTTGAGACAATGGGCCTAGCCAACTCTATAAGTGATTTTCATATCAACCCCATCTTTGTGTGTCTGTTTCTTTCAAATAGAGCATAGTACAGTGGGCTAATGTCTTGGAGTGCCTGTTCTCCAACTAGATAGACCAAGTATATCCAGGGAATGGGGTTTTCTGACCAAAGCTGAGGGCACTGGAATCTTAGTACAGATTTGTTTGCTGACCTAGATCAGTGCCATTCACATAGGAGGGACAGCATTTGTCAGAGACTCTGTGTGAACCACCAAGAGCATAGCCAAGGCCAGAGCTGGCAGGTCTGCTTCCCCTCACAGGGGCATCTTTCTTCATTGGCAAAAAGACCCTTTGAGGGCTGGCAGAGCCTGTGTAGAGACTTGCCTGAGATCCTGAGCCAGGTGATAGTTGAATGGGAGCCAGGCCTAGAACCAGAACTTTCTGACTCTGGCACTTAGGGAATGACACTCCTGTCCCTCATCCCTTCCTATTTATTTTAAATATATTTTTTAAATTTATTATCTTTATTTTATGTGTATGAGTGTGTTGCCTGCATGTATGTGAGTGCAGTGCTGCGGATGTCAGAAGAGAGCTTCAGATTCCCCTGGAACTGGAGTTAAGGACAGTTCATAGCCACCATGTGGGTGCTGGGAATCAAACCCGGGTCCTCTGCAAGAGCAATCAGTGCTCTTAACCGCTGAACCATCTCTCCAGCCCCATAAAAGTGATTTTTAAAAAAAATTTATTATTTCTATTTTATGTGTATGCATGTATTGCCTGTGTGTAGATAAGTGCACCTGTGTCGTGCAATGCCTGCAGAGGTCAGAAGAGGCTGTCAGATTCCCTGGGACTGGAGTTATGGACAGTTGTTGGCTGCCATGTGAGTGCTGGGATTTGAACCCGGGTCTTCTGCAAGAACAACCAGTGTTCTTAACCACTGAGCCATCTCTCCAGCCCCCCTTCCTATTTATAAATATCATAGAGTTATAGCTGGATGGGGAAAAAACCTTCTGCACTTGCCCAACCAGTCCAAGGTCAAAAGCTGAGTCTAAGTGTCATTTAGTTTAAACTAACTCTGATATCTGGGGACACAGAGAGTGTGGAACAATGTGTTAGGAATAGAGATGACTTGGGACTTCTTTGTGTGTGTGTGTGTGTGTGTGTGTGTGTGTGTGTGTGTGTGTGTGCCTAGCATTTACTGTGGGTAGGGTGAAATCTTTATCAGAAGCACCTTTAGCAGGGAAAGATAAGGGCACAGGCCCCCAGCTCCTTATAGGAACCACTGTTGGTTATCCCTCCTAACTTATTTGAGAAGAGCATGCAGTCCTATTCTTTGTAACAGTAGTATATTTTGTAACTGATGTTGGAGTGAAGAATTTGTGCTCTATCATGATTTAAGGGGCAGGTGGGGACTGGTGGCACAGACCTATAATCCCAGATATTTTGGATGTTGATGGAGGAGAATTGCAAACTGAAGGCTTACCTGGGCTACAGAGTGAGTCCAAGGCCAGCCTGGGTAACTTAGCAAGACCCTGTCTCAGAATGAGAGCTAATAAAAGGCTGGGGATGTAGCTCAGTGGCAGAGCATTTGTCTAGAACATGTCAGACCCTAGGTTTCATCCTCAGAGCCAGCCAATCAGTCAATCAATCTGAGAGAGAGGGAGAGAGAGGAGAGAGAGAGGAGAGAGGAGAGAGAGAGAGAGAGAGAGAGAGAGAGAGAGAGAGAGAGAGAGAGAGAATATCACCCTGTCTGGGGTTTTCCTTCTGTGTGGCTCAATCTGTCTCCACAATGGCTTCATTTATGCTTGTCAGAGGCTCTCTGGCTTGATGCTGGGGTGTCCTGGGGCTCCTTGGGACGAGCTGGGCCAGGTTGTCCTTTGGAATGCATAGGGAGCTGGCATACCACAACTATTGTCTATTATAAGATGGGGAGCTGACTTTGGGGCCTGGTCCTGTTTGCCAACCAGGAGATTTAATTCTTGAAACCTGAAGCCACTGAGCAGAACTGCCACATAAAGTGGGAATGTGAGTTAGATACAGAGTGGATGGCAGGGGACTCCAGCATGAGATCCTGCATGTTCACAAGGCTTCGAGTGACCACACAGATATTCTGCTGGCTTTCAGTGTGGAGGCATGGTAGAGGCAAAGTGACATGCCTTATTTAATTTGTTTGTTTTTAGCAGCCCTGGCACCCACTGACTCTCAGGAAACAAAGATGGCACAAGAGATTAGATACAAAACCGGTAGGAAAGTCTGGGCCCTGGGCCACAGGAATCCTGGTTTGAATGTGGTTCTGCCACTTGGCCGTTTATCTGTGAGTCAGTCTTTATCTGTAAGATGGGGGCAGTGTCTATCTTGCAAGATCGAGGCTGGCATGAACCAACATTTCAAGTGCCAGCTTTATGCCACATGATTCCCTCACTCTAACATCAAGTACCACATTGTTACAGTGCATATGTGTTAGTCATCTCCTGCTTCTTTGACTATCCCCTGCCTTTTTTGTCCTGTACTGATATTTTTAACATTACAGGAAATTATATTTATACAGATTTCAATTATGCATTTGTTTGAGACAAGGTTTCACATAGCCCAGGCAGGCCTTGAACTCAGTATGTGGCCAAGAATGACCTTGAATCCCTGACCTTCCTGCCTCTGTTTCCCAAGTGCTGGGCTTACAGGTGTGCTCCCATGCCACACCTGGGTCAATTATGCATATTTTAATATTTAAAATTTTTTTAGAATTTAATATATGATATTGAAGATTTATTTATGTGTATGAATATTTTACCTGCACATTTGTATGTGTACGATGTGCATGCCTGGTGCCCTTTGAGGTCAGAAGAGGAGTCAGATCCCTTGGAACTGGAGTTATGGACAGTTGCTAGCTGCTATGTGGGTACCGGGAACCAAACCCAGATTCTGTACATTAGGAGCAAATGTTCTTAACCACTGAGCCATCTCTCCAGCCCCGATTATGCATATTTTGATCAACAAGTTTGGAAGCCTTATGTACATATTTGAAGATATATAAGCTTCCAATGTGTATATATGTGTACGTCTCTCTCTATATGTTTATATATATTACTATGCCCCAGACAATATCATGATTTATTGCAGTTGGTCACTGAAGGTGTGCTAATCAAGGTAAACACCCTATATGGTTATTCATTACTGGCTGTGTGATCTGCCTGGAGGCAAGAATACTGGGTCTTAGCAGAATAATTTCCCATACTTTATGTTGACTTTATCATTTCATCTATTATATAAGAAAGGAAAATATAATTTTTTACTTATGAAAAAGTGATCATTATCTTTTAATCATTATCTTCTGTATTTATTTTAAATGCTTGATTGTGATTAATTAAATAGATAATATTGTTTCTAAGGCAAAAAATTTGCCAAGATAAAGAACAAGGATTTCTAATAAGGTTGAATTTGAATTCCAGCATGACTTCTTGGCTGGGTGACCCTGGGCAAGGTGGAGAGTCTCTCTGGGCTGTGGTTCCCTTACCATAAATGGTAATGATGATACTGCCTAACTCCTAAGGCTTTTGTGAGAATTTCAGTGAAGTCATTCACACAAAGCTTCTAAAATGAAGCCTACCAGAGCATGTGCTTAATGAAAATAAACACTATATATTAATGACAGACCATTAGTGGACACTGGGGAGTGTTTTAAAACCCTTTCCTGCATGAGAAACTTTCACCTTGTTAACAACTGGCTAAGCGTTTGTTTTTCCTTCATCACCTCTAGCTTGGGTCCAGAGTTGCAGACACATATTTTACACAAGGTAGTAAGTAAATGTTAATACAGTTCTGGAAATAGCTTGGCATGAAGCCCTAACGCTGAGCAGTGTGTGAGACTCTTGTGGGCTACAACCCTGGCAGGTGCTTGTTTGTTACCAGTATTACAGGCTCAAAATGTTCTAGTACTACCAACCTTCCAAAAGCACTGCCTGGAGCTGTATAGCTGGGGACTTTCGCATTGGCTTTTCTTCCTTCTAGTAGATCTCTATGCCAACCTCGTGTTTTCTGTCTAAAATGAGGACATGAGTGACCCATTGTCTCAAAGGAGAAGATGTTATTATCTTAGGGAGCAGGGCAGATGGAACAGTCACTCTGTGAAATGACTTGGGGGACGTGCCTGCAGTGTCTGCCCAAGAGGAAAGGGAACTCTGATATCAGTGACACCATATCGGAGGGCCAGAATACAGAAACAGACGCCCAGTTAAAAGCTTCTGTCCCAGTCCAGTTCTCAGTCCAAGGAAGTACTAACAGTATGATGTAAATCAACATTCCAGAAAGATCTTCCAGGTTGCAACTGACTCTAGGGATGGGGTTTATGGAGTTTGCCAAGGGTTTCAGTTTGGTTGCTCTATGTATGGCATAGTAAATAAAACTTTCTAGGACACAACCTCAAGTAGACTCATGCTTAACTATGCTCAGTCTCATCCACCCTTAGGATGGGTTTTCTGCTTGGGTAACAGCAGGATTGAAAAATAGTGTACTGCTGTAGAACTCTGACCTTCAGGGGGCCGAGGCAGAAGGATTGCTATGAGTTTGAGGGCAGTCCATGCTACATAGTGAGTTCTAGGTCATTCTGAGATGTGGTGTGAGACTGTGTTGTCAAAAAAAAAAAAAGAATAGAAAAAGAATATACTGTTGTATAAGAACCATATGAATTAATTGAAAAAGATATAGCAGATTAAATGCTCCTCTGAGCAGCATCTCCTTTCTCTATCCTTCCTCTCCTTCCCTTTTAAAA